GAGGGATTAGGGTTCGAAGAAACCATGTCTGGAAGAATGTCTGCCCTAATTTTCCAAATAATTCCAAGTGTGTTTTGGGAATATTTAAAAATGCAAGGATTGCCCGGCTGGGCGTGGCTCAGCTGTTGAGCATCAACCTGGGATCCAGGCGATCGGGGTTCGATTCCCGGTCAGGGCACATGCCTTGGTTGCGGGCTCCATCCCCAGTTGGGGGCATGCAGGAGGCAGCTGATCAATGACTCTCTCATCATTGATGTTTCTATCTCTCTCTCTCTCTCTCTCTCTCCTTTCCTCTCTCTGAAATCAATAAAGATATATTTTTTTTAAAAAAAGCATAGATCCATTCAGAATAATTCCAAGTAAATTATGTAGATACTCCACCCTAAGGGAAGTGGAGCATAACTCCTCACTCCTTACTTCCTTCTAAAGAGTACAGTGGGGGGTAACTTTACAGTGGAGAAATCTGACAAACACTCCACCATCCAGGCCATCAAGTTCAACACCAATAGTCAAAAATGATGTTGACAGCATGAATCCTTGGTACGACAGATAAAAATGGCATTTATACATCTGTGATCTTCCTACCAAAAACCCTAACCCCCAATCATGAGAAAATCTCCAATAGATGTGCATCCTACAATATACCTAATTAGTACCCCTCAAAACTGCCGAGGTCATTAAACACAAGGAAAGGTTGAGAAATTGTCACAGCCGACAGAAAAGTTAGGAGACATAACTAACAAAATGTATCCCGGGACAGAAAAAGGACATTGGGTTAAAACCAAGGAAATCCAAATAAATTATTAACATTAGTTAATATGCCAATATTGGTTAATTATAACAAACGTATTGCACTAATGTAAGATGTTAATAAGGGAAACTGGAAAGAATCCCTCATATTGCGGTTAAAAAAACAATAATAGGGGAAACTGTGTGAGGCGGACAAAGGTATTTGATAACTGCTCTATCTGCTTAATTTTTCTATAAATCTAAAATTATTCTAAAAATAAAGTGAAATCTATTAATATTATTGCGTTTCCCTCCATTAAGACCAAGAAAGTAAAATACTAAATTCTGGTTTTGTATAAGTAAAATCTTGAAACTTTTTAAAAAAAACTGCAAGGGCTGTAAGACGAGAAATTCACACAGCTCCACTAACTTCAGGCGACAGAATTCCTGATCTTCGTTCTTTTACACTGAAAAGAAGGCGTTTGTGGAAAACAGCGCGGAGAAATCACCCGCAAGTGAAGTTAAAAGGCCAGGGGCCGGACCTTCGCGCATGCGCCAACCAAGGGAGGGGTGGGGCGGGACTTTGGGGGTCTTGCTCTTTTCCCACTGGCTGAGAAGGCTCACGTGTCTTGGCTGCTCGGTCACTTGACAGGAACCGGAACCTGGGTTATAAAGCAAAGGGAAGCGAAACCTGCGTTGGCTTTTCCTTTCTGACTTCGCCGCCGGCTTTTTGAGGTCTAAGGTCGAGCTAGTTGCCCACCGGCCAAGCGTCGCTTTCGCCATGGCCCTCAGCGATGCTGATGTGCAAAAACAGGTGAGGGGCTGGGGTCGGGCCTCGCGAAGCCTCGACGTCGGTCCCGGGATGATAGTCTGGAGCCCGCCTCAGCGAGGGCGCGGGCCTTGGTCGGCCCAGATACCGGAGGGGGGTCCCTTGCCCCAAGTTCTCGGGTCCTGGTGGTTTTTCTCCGGGAGGGAGTCTTGCTGATCCGGGATTAGCCGCGCAACTTGTGACTTCTGCTCCAGCTTTCTTGAACGCCCTGGCTCTTTGGTTCTCGCTTCGGCTGTACCTAGTTAACCATGGTACTTGCCGTGCTTGGTAGAGCAGAGCGGTGAAAACAGGAATCGAAATGCAAATTAGATGCAAGGGTTGAAAACGCCGTTTTCACTTGATTGTTAACGCTGATGGAAGGGTTTACAGTATGCGAAAGCAGAGTGCTGAGGGGAGAGAGCTGCTTCCACTGTTTTTTGAGGTCATTCACTTTCATCGACTGTTAATCTTCATTTTTAGAGGAGTTTCCTCTGTCATAATGAAGTGTATGGTTGGTCTCCCACTAGTCTTCACATTAATATTAGTCAAATGCAGAACTCTTTTTATTAGCCCCAGCGCCAAACAGTGTTTGGCATAAAGTAGATGAGTCAAGGTTTATGGGAAAATTTGTTATGGAAGTTGTGAATGTACATCAATTTTGCAAATGTGTAATCAGTCCTGGGAAACTAGGTGTTTTTTTAAAAAAATTCCCCATTACCATTTATCCCCTCTATGTCTTCTTCCCCCTCCACGCACCCCCCTCACCCCAAAACTTGAGTGTGAGGTTTTTTTAATGAGCCATATACCTTCAAGTTTGTAGGCAGTAAGGAATGTTATAATGCAAAAGTCTCTCAAGAGACTATTGTGGTGTTGAAAGGCCTATAACTAACATGAGAAAAAATGGTTTCAGCCCTAGTCTATTTGTTCAGTGGTTAGAGCGCGGCAGGTGGTTTGAAGGGTCATGGGCTCGATTTCCTCCAAGGGCACATACCACGGTTGCAGGCCTAATGCCAGGCCCCAGCTGGCGTGTGAGCGGGAGGCAGCCAATCCATGTGTCTTTCTCGCATCGATATTTCTTTCTCTCTCTCCCCCCCTTCCACTCTCTCTGAAAAGCAGTGGAAAAACTATCCTTGAATAAGGATTAAAAAAAGAAAGAAAAAATGGTTTCCATTTGTCCATACAATAGATACTCTGAAACCAGGGTCCTTGAACTTAGGAGTCATATTGCCAGTAGGTTTTTCAGAAAGGAAGGTTAAGGCTGCAATTTAATTTCTGCATAATTTAGAGAACTAAGTCTACTTCTTTTTGAAGTAGTAGGAAAATTCCCTGACTAAAAGCTCACTCACTGGCTTATAAATATTCTTAGATGAGCAATACAATTGTTTTTTCCTTGGATTTTTCCATTTCCATGAGAATACCTTTGCATTTTATTTTTAACCTGTTATGCACTAAGAACAGTGCAGTATTTCTTCTTCATCTCAGTGGATCTTGTGCTAATTACAAAGTAAAAAAGGGGGACAAAGATAGCATCTGTGGAGGACTTTTTGAACATTTATCACTGCTGCTTTAATTTTTACTGTAGGAAAAACTTGATACAGTGGAAAAGTACGATGCCATCCATATGTTCTAGTAGTCCAGTCATTAGTACTGATTCTCTTATTCTTGTTCCTTCATTTTCCCCCCTTGTTATGATATATTGAAGACTAAGGCTTTCCTAGGAAAAAATATAAAGGTAAAGCAGTGTATTTCCTTGGAATCTAGGTCAAAACCATTTTTTCTTTCTGTAAAATTGGAAGAATGAAGAGATCTGCTTGTGCCCCTGCACACTACACGTAAGCTCCAGGAGGGCAGTGTGTTTTGCTCCCTGTATTTTCAGCTGTGAATAGGCCAAGCACTCAGCACATGATAGTGCTTAATAAATCCTAGATTCCTTTTTCCCCCCTTGTATAAAATACTTGTGTATTGCCATGGCAAGTGCGCCTCAGTTGGTTCGGTGTCACCCCATGCACCAAAAGGTTTTTGGTTCCATTCCTGGTCAGGGCACATGCCCAGGTTGGGTTCTCGATCCCTGATGGGGGGCATGCAGGAAGCAGCCGATTCTCTCTCTCCCTTTCTCTTCTCTCTCTAAAAATCAATTAAAAATCTTAAAAAAAAACACACACCACTTGTATATATTAGCTTTTTTTTGTCTGGGGATATGGTCATTTATTTCATCAGATTTTCAGAGGAATCTGACTCCAAAAAATTAAGTTACTGGGTTAGCTGGAAAAAGAAAATATTTTTTAAAGATCAGATTTTTCTGCCTTAGGGGTGGAGTTTAATGTCCTTAAGGGGTTGGCTGTTTCTCTTGTTAAAGAGAATCTGATCATGTTGACTATAAACAGGCTTCTCTGACCTGGGTTAAAATTAGTGCCATTTTGTTCTAGGCTGTCAAATCTGGTAAGCAGATAGTCCAGCTTGAGTGGTAAAGGCAGATAATGCAGGTTTGAATCAGAGTTCACCCATAGAGGCCAAATGTGCTTTGTAGTACTTAGAAACATCTGATTTGATTACCATATTTAGTTAAATTACTTTCTTTTTTAAAATATATTTCATAGAGAGGAAAGGAGAGGGATAGAGAGATAGAAACATCACTAATGAGTCATTGATCAGCTGCTTCCTGCATGCCCCCGACTGGGGATCGAGCCCCCAACCCGGGCATGTGCCTGACTGGGAATCGAACCCCGATTGCCTGGATCCTGGATTGATGCTCAGCCGCTGAGCCATGTCCGACTGGGCCTTATAAACAAAATTCTGAACTCTGTATCTGTTAGTTTGCTTGGTTCTATTTCATTTAGTTCCTTTTCTAGAGATTTCTTCTGTTCTTTCCTTTGTGACGTGTTTCTTTGCCTCCACATTTTGGCTGAAAAGGAGAGCATGGAAGTCATGGGAGGAAAGGGAAGGAATTATTCAAGAAGGGAGTGAGGTCAGCATATCAAGAGATGCTGACAGGTCAAGTAAGTTAAGACCAAAATTTAAGAGCAAGGAGATGGTTGTAATTTCATGAGTGTAATTTCAGTGGATTGGAAGGGGTAAAAGTCAAATTGAAATGTGTGGAGAGTAGGAGGTATGAAAGTTGAAAGAGTAAACAGAGATAGCTTTTTGATATAGTTTATTAGAGATGTTGAAGACATAGGTTTTGGCTGAAGGGTTTATGAAGTAGACTTCTTCCATGGACCTGAAGCTCCTTGAGAGTAGGATAATGTCCTATTTATCTGTGTTATTGATTATTGCACCATATCCATTTGCAAGAGCAAATTCAAGGTTGTAAGTTACCTGAGGACAGAAACTATCTAATTTTCCTTATACACAGAGCCTGACACATAATATGTATTCAATAAATAATTGAATGAGTCAGGAAAGATTTTTTTTTTCTTTTTATATTCAAAAATAAAATAATCTTTCCTTTTTCCTTACAGATTAAGCATATGATGGCTTTTATTGAACAAGAAGCTAATGAAAAAGCAGAAGAAATAGATGCGAAAGTAAGATTTTATTTTTTAGGTTTAAGAAATTAGAAAGTTTTGTATTGTTTTGTTTTGCTGAATAGTAATTAGTAGAGTTGTTTAGCAATGCATTGATTAGGACTAATAAGAATATTTCTTATATTTAACATTAAAAATAAATTTTCCAGCCCTGGCTGGTGTGTCTCAGTGGTTAGAGCGTCAGCCTGTGCACAGAAGGGTCATGGGTTCGATTCCCAGTCGAGGGTAGGTACCTGGGTTTTGCAGTACCTAGGTTCCAGGTTCAGTCAACTGTCCCATTTGGGGCATGTGTGGGAGACAACCCATCTCTCTCACATCGATGTCTCTATCTGTCTCTCTTTCTCTCCTTCTTTCCTCCTCTCCCCCTTTCACTGTCTCTAAAAATCAATGGAAAAAATATCCTTGAGTGAGGATTAACTAACTAAATAACTAAATAAATTTTCCTTTCTAAACATTCTGATTGCCAGTAAGTGTCCTGAAATTTTATAGTAGGGAGTAGAAAATTGATGGATGGGGGATAAAAGACACATATTCCTTAGAGGAGAATTCCAACTAATGTATGTAGATAACTTCCCTCTGCAAGAAATTGGAGCTTAAATCTTCCCAACTACCATCCTCATCAGAGTGTGGGCTGAAGTTAGTGACCAACTTCCAAAGAATAGAATATGGAAAAAATAGTAACTTCATGGTGGAGAAATATGACTTAAGTGCTCCCAGTTAACATCATCAGTGATGTGGATAATTCATCAAGTTACCCCTATATATGATAGGAGGAGAACACTTCACCTATGTGGTATTTTCCCCAAAACCTGTAACACCAGCCTAATTAATAAGTAAAAAAAGGGACATTCTATAAAATATCAGTACTCTTCAAAACTATCAAAGTCATGAAAAACAAGAAAAGACTTAAGAAACTGTCACAGATCAGATGAGATTTAAGGAGACACAATGACCAAATAAAAGGTAGTGTCCTGGATAATATTTTAGAACAGAAAAAGACATTAGGTAGCAACAAAGGAAACTGCATAATGTATGGATTTTGGTTCATTGTAATGGGTTGGTGTTAATTTTTTGGTTGTGATAAATCATGAATATAAGATGTTTAAAAATGGGAAACTAGGTGAAGGTACAGTCTAATATCTTTGCAACTACTCTGTAAATCTAAAATCTTCCAATTGAAAATATTCAGCCCTAGCTGGTTTGTCTCAGTGCTTAGTGCATTGACCTGCGGACTGAAAAGGTCCTGTGTTCAATTCCGGCTAAGGGCACATACTTTGGTGGCAGGCTCAATCCCCGCTCCAGTTAGCACACATCAATGTTTTTCTCTCTGTCTCTCCTCATTCTCCCTTCCACTGTTTCTGAAAAGCAATGGAAAAAATATCCTCAGGTGAGGATTAAAAAAAAGAAGAAAGAAAATAAAATACTGTAACATTATTTTTAATAAATTAAGTTTTAAAAGGAAAGCAATGGATAGATTAATTTTCTCGTGGAATCCAGCATTCAGACATTTAGCATCTGTGACTAATTGTGATAGTTGGTTAAGGCAGGCATAATATTTAAAAAATAAATAGTTTGGGAGTATGTAAGGTATAAAATGAAAGCTCCTGTCATTACAAAGGTGATAGTCTGCATTTAGAAATTGTGTAGATATTTCCAGTTGCACATTGTTTGTACGCAGAATATCACATTGTTCTTTAGGCAGTGGCCCAGATTTTCTAAACTCCAAACTCTATGTTCTTTTCATTAGCACGCTAGAAAGCAAATGGGTTAAATTTAGAATACATAAATTTTTTATATAAGAATATTCCTGAGGATATTTTTTTCATTGATTTTCAGAGAGAGCGGAAGAGAGGGAGCGAGGGGGAGAGATAGAGAGAAATATCAATGAGAGACACATCAATCGGTTGCCTCCTGTATGCACCCCAACCAGAGCTGGGGATCGAACCTGCAACCCAGGTACGTGCCCTTGACTGGGAATTGAACCCCCCATCTTTCATTGCAAGGGGCTGATGCTCTGACCCCTGAGGTACATCAGCCAGAACTATATATCTGATTATATCTTTGTAAATTTGTTGCTGGGTACTATTATCCTTGATCAGAATTTCAGTCTTCTGGTTCATTATTTATGATGAATATCACTTTTTTTTCCTTTTTTTTTTAAAAAAATTGATTTTGGAGAAAGAGAGGAAAGGGGGGGAGGGGGAGGAGAGAAAGCAAGAGAGAGAGAGCGCGAGAGAGAGTGAGCGAGCCTGGCCGGGCATGGCGCAGTGGTTGAGCATCGACCTAGGACCCAGGAGATCGAGGTTTGATTCCTGGTCAGGGCACATGCCTGGGTTGTGGGCTCGATCCCCAGTAGGGGGCATGCAGGAGGCAGCTGATCAATGACTTTCTCTTCATTGATGTATCTCTCTCTCTCTCCCTTTCCCTTCCTCTCTCTGAAATCAATAAAGATATATTTTTTAAAAAAAGAAAGAGAAACATTGATTTTTGTTGTTGTTTCATTTATTTATGCATTCATTGGTTGATTCTTGTATATGCCCTGACCAGGGGATCAAACCCTCAACCTTGGTGTGCTGGGACAATGCTGTAACCACTTGAGCTACCTGGCCAGGGCCTGGTCTTTCCTTTTGAATAAATAAGGTGATCTTTGAAGACTAGTTATAATTTCCTGTTATCAATATAGAATAAGGTTTTTATAAGTGAGTACCTCTGGTCACCAGCTGCTCTCCTTAAAATAAAACTGTCAAAATCTGGTGTCACAAATTAATTAATTCCCTGGTAGGCAGAAGAAGAGTTCAACATTGAGAAAGGTCGTCTTGTGCAAACCCAAAGACTGAAGATTATGGAATACTATGAGAAGAAAGAAAAGCAGATAGAGCAGCAGAAAAAAATGTAAGTAAATCTTGATCACAGTATTAAACTAAGGAAGCTTTACAAAGTCAGTGGGACTTTGCGGGTGCTTTGGACAGAGGACAGAGCAGGTGCTTTGAAGTCAAGCAAATATGGGTTCATGTCTTAAATGGATTACTTAACACTCATCTGACTTTGGTCAAGTTGCTTAACTTCTCTTTCCTCATTTGTGAAAATGGAAGCCTCACAGAAATATTGAAAGATTACGCTGGAATAACTAATATGAGATTGCTTGCCACTTGGTAAGAACTTAATAAAAATTCATCTTTGAAAGTAAGTTGGTAGAAATAACTAAATATATTTCAGTGGAGTTCTCTTTGGGGTATGTACAAAGAGAAGTATTTGTAGAGACATAGGAGCTGTATATTTCTTTACAGTTTTTGTTTTTCATACTGTACTGATACTCTTTTTTCATATATTTTGTAGTCAGATGTCCAATTTAATGAATCAAGCAAGACTCAAAGTGCTCAGAGCAAGAGATGACCTTATTACAGTGAGTAATTAGCCGGTTAGTTATAAAATTATAAAATGTTTATTCGCCTGTTTTAGAGAATTTACTAGTTAACATTAGCTAATTAAAGAGTTGAATGGTTTTTAGAGAACATAATAAATACAAAAATGAATAAGATATGTTCCCTGTCTTCAAGGACCCCTGATCTCTGTAACAGAGCTCAGAGACTCTTCTGGATTATATAGCATTGTCATGGGTGGACTACAGTATATGAGGGTAATAGGCACTAAGGAGGCTAGAAATGTAGGCTAGAGTTAATACAGGGGCCATAAGTGCAGGCTAAACAGCTTCACCTACTTTCAATAGAAAGCTTCATTGAAGTTTTTATTTTATTTTATGGGACTATCATAAATAAGGTTCATGTATGAATGTGTAGGCTAAGTTTAATAGGGAAGAGGTTTGACACAAAATCATTTGGGAAGTATTGTTATCCTAGGAAGAGGGCAGAAACCTTCAGAAACATGCCACTTAGTTGAGAAGGCCTAGTTGTATTAGACTTATATTCAGAAACTAAATAAGGATGCCTGCTGCTGTTTCATTAGATTCCTTATAAAATGGAGAAATAAGAGTTATATAAATATTGGAAAGAAACAGTTATCATTTTTGTAGATATAATGGTCTACATGGAAAATACATCATCAAAAAAACAGTAAGAACTAGTAATTAGTTCAAAACATGACTGGCCACACAGAGAACTTACAGAAATTAAGTTTTTCTATATGCCAACAATAACCAATTAGCAAGTAAAATAAAAAGTAGATCTCTTGCCTGGCCAGGCGTGGCTCAACAATTGAGCATTGACCTAGGATCCAGGAGATCCCGGTTTGATTCCCGGTCAGGGCACATGCACAGTTGTTGGGCTCAATCCCCATTCGAGGTTGTGCAGGAGGCAGTCGATCAATGATGACTCTCTCATCGTTGATGTTTCTATCTCTGTCTCCGTCTCCCTTCCTCTCTCTGAAATCAATAAAGATATATTTTAAAAAAAAAAAGCTACAAAAATTACTTAATTTTTAGGATTAAATGTAAGTGAATAAGACCTAGATGGAAAAGCTATAACGCTTGAATAAATGGAAAACATACCATTTTCTTAGATAATTGAAGAAACAAACTGATACTATAAGATATGATTCTTACTAGATGAATCTGGAATGGTGTTAATGTTGACACATTTTACAGGAATATGTCCTAGACTTTGACTACTGATTGATTCCTCCTCTTCCAAGTTCAACACCAAATACTGAATTTCAGGCCTCGCTAACTAGGCGAGTGGTGGTTCCATTAACAAAAATGGGAAGTTAAAAGGGCAAGTTCTTTTAAGAAACATAATCAGCTCACTTTTGGGCATACTTTGAGGGACCTAGAAAATCTATTGCTGCTTAGATAATTATGCCCAGAGTGAAAAATGACAAGTGTGACAGCTACCGTGTAGATGCTATTTGTACAATACAAGGGTTTATAGGCATATAGCTTTGATGTCTTAGCAACATTCCTAAATATGAGTACCAATTATAACACATACTTTTAAATGTTATAATTTTGACAGTTATCCTGTCTTTAGGAAGAGTAATGATATTAAAAGTGGAAAGGATCCTGAGAAAGATCATCCAATGTACTATAGAGACACTTTGGATGATATATTCTCTGATGGTGTACTGTCTTAGATGACATATTTAGGTTTTGTAACCAGATACAGGTAAACAGCTCAGGGGTTGTAGATTTGACTTTACTTTTAATTATTTTTTTTATTGTTTTTATTATTTCTTTGACCTGGTATATTTTATCTACTTTTAAAATATTTTATTAGTTATTTTTTCTAATTTAAAAAACATAATTTAAATTTTTATTGGACACTGTTTTAAGTCCTTTTAAATATATAAAGAATTATTTGTTTGACTTTAGAAGGAAATTTTCGGTGTCAGGGATAAGAAAACGTGATACCTAAAATTTAGATCAATCATTTATCAAATATTTGAATGCTTACTAAGTGATAATAAGATTTTATTATATCTCTGAGTATTCGAGATATAATAAAAGTCCTTGCCTTTGTGGAATTTAACATCCTAGTAGGTTGAATGAGTCGTGTTTTAAAAAATACGTGTAATAAAAATCTGGGTGGGTGTTTTTTCCTTTTTTCTGTATTTTTTTACTTTTTTAATACCAGTGCTTCTTAACTTTTTTTCCCCGCTCTCCAGAATATTCACACAATTGAAACACAAATCAGCAGTTCAAGGTCATTCCACATATCTTCCTCAAGAGCAGCGGAGAGTTTGTCTGCTTACCACTAAAATCATCACAAAATTCTCTCTTTTCAATACTAACTTGATCTTTTAGTTTCATACTTATACTTTCATTTCATAATTGAGCTGGGTTCCCTTGAGGCAGTAAGCTATTTGAACTTCAGAGTATGGTTTTTGCTTGTCTTGTATTTGCTAGGCCCTATGTGTGTCTGCAGTCTATCTGGATCTAGACAAGAGAAAATATCTACATAAGGCAAATCTCAGGTATTGCAGGTTTGGTTCCAGACTGCCTTAAAGCAAGTATTGCAATAAAGTGAATCATAATCTTTTTTCTGGTGGAAGGCCTTACCTTCAATTTATAAAAACTACAACATGAAGTGTAATAAAGTGAAGCACAATAAAACAAGGTGTGCCTGTACAGCCTTTTGAGCCTGACCTTAAAAAATTAGTCAGTGGGTATAAGATGGAATGGAGCAAGTTGAACATAAAAAACAGGCATTAATTTGACAACACAGGCAGGAAATGGAAGTAGTTTGGTAGAGTGGGGAGTGGTAGGAGATAAGATCAGACAGAGACATTTGGGTTCAATTAACAGAGCCTTGAATGCCTACTAAAGATTATGGACTTTATCCTTTGGCTAGTTCTCAAACTTTAATGGGCATAAAAATCACGTAGAGGACCTTGTTAAAATGCAGCCTCTCAGTCCCATTTCCCGATATATTTTTTTCAGGAATCAGCATTTAAAATAAGTGGCCCAGAGTGATCTTGGTGGTGGTGGTCTGGGAACCTCATTGAAAAATACTTCTGAAGTCTTAGATTTGTGTTAAGGAGAGACTTGGTGACACTGGGAAGTGGTTATGGCTTAACTTTCAAGTCAAGAAGTAGAAAGGACACAATAGCAGCAAAAAAGACAAGAACCCCATTCCAGAGATTCTAAAAAGATAGAGTTCATAGGACTTTGTGACTTATAGGTTGTGATGAGTGAGTGGAAAGGAGGAATTAAGAATGACTTTTAAGGGTTATTGAGTTAGGCAACTGAATAAGGTGTATGGTTAGAAATACAGGAGGAAACAATCCAATTAAAAAATGGACAGAGCAGTCAGAGAAAGACAAGTAGCATAAGATTTCACTCATATGTGGAATTTAATGAACAAACTGAACTACCAAGCAAAATACAGACTAATAGAGAGCAGGCAGATGGATGGGAGTGTAAAGAATGAACAAAAAAGGAAAAAAAGAGAGAGAACTCATGGACATAGACAATAGTGTGGTGATTGTGGGGGTGGAGGAGGAAGAGGGAATAGAGTGGATAAGGGGTGATGGGGAAAATATATTTACAAAAAAAAGGGGGGGCCAGAGACCTGAATAGACAGTTCTCAAAAGAGGACCTACAGATGGCCAATAGACATAGTACAAGGTTTCCAATGTCACTAATCATCAGAGAAATGCAAAGTAAAACCACGATATAACCTCACAGCTGTCAGAATGGCTATCCCATCAATAAGTCAACAAACTTGACAAGAATGTGGAGAAAAGGGAACCTTCATGCACTGTTGGTGGAAATGCAGATTGGTGCAGCCTCTATGGAAAATATATGGAGGTTCCTCAAAAAATTAAAAATGGAATTGCCTTATGACCCAGTGGTTGCACTTCTGGGTATATAGCCTAAGAAATCCAGAACAAGAATTCAAAGGAATATATGCATCCCTATGTTCACTGAAGTATTATTTACAATAGCCAAGATATGGAAGTAACCCAGGTGCCCATCAGTAGACGAGTGGATAAAAAAGCAGTGGTATATGTGCAAATGGAATATTACTAGGCCATAAAAAGGAATGAAATCTCACCATTAGTGACAGCATGGATGGACCTAGAGGGTATTTTGCTAAGTGAAACAAGTCAGACAGAAGGATAAATACCATGATTTTAATTGTGTGTGGAATCTAAAGAGCAAAACAAAGGAACAAATAAAACAGAAACAGACTCATAGATAACATTGAACAGACTGATGACTGTCAAAGGGGAGGAGGGTTGGGGGCCTGGGTAAAAAAGGTGAAGGGATTAAGAACTACTAATAGTGCTGGGGATGTAAAATACAGCATAGGGAATATACTCAATAATATTGTAATAACTATGTACAGTGCCAGGTGGGTACTTGAAATATTGGGGGGGGGGCACTTTGTAAACTATATGATTGTCTAACCACTATGCTATACACCTGAAATTTAAAAATAATATTGAATGTAAGCTGTAATTGAAGAACAAAATTTAAAAAAAGAAGTTAGATGAAGTATTAAGTGATATGTAAGAGAAAGGGGAAGGGAGAGAGAGAAACATCGATCAGCTGCCTCCTGTACACCCTGACTCAAGATCAAGCCCGAAACCCGGGCATGTGCCTGGGCTGGAATCGAACTGGTGACCCTTTGGTACATGGGACGACGCTCAATCAACTAAGCCACACCAGCCAGGGCTGGTGTTATAAATTTTAATCCCAAGGAATTTGGATATATTACATCCCTCCACAAAAAACAAATATTTCACTTTTATCATAAAAAGAAAAAAAATACAGGAGGAGGAGCAGGTGAGGGACCCTGATAAACCTTGGGGTTTGAATTGCTATAGAAATTCAAGTGAACAGTTCTGAGTCAGGCTTAGGAGAGAGGTTAGGACACATTGACAGCACAGAAGTCCCAGGTAGAGCTATGGATGTGGATGAAGTTGCCAAGGTTGTAGATGTAGAATTAGAAGAGCAGAGGGCCAAGTAAACAAACTGAGGAGCATCATATGTAACATGCAGGAAAATAAGAGATTGATGAGAAAAGGAAACACAGGGAAAAGCAGTGATGTTGTGGGAGAATGAGAAGCCAAGGAAACAAAAACTTGAACTTCCCTGCCCAAGTACCTCAGGTGGTTGGAGTGTCATTCTGTTTGTGTGCTCACGCCCATGTGTGTGCACATGCACGTTGCAGGTTCCATGCCTGGTCAAGGCACATACCTAGGTTGCCGGTTCAATCTCAGGTCGAGTTGCATACAGGAGGCAACCAATCAACATTTCTTCTGCATCAATGTTTCTCTCTCCCTCTGAAATCAATAAAAACATATCCTCGGGTGAGGGTTAAAAAAAAACTTGAACAAAATGGCAAGCTAATAGAGCGCATCTTATGCTTCAAGGAATCAAAGTAGGAAAACACAGTGATCTTTGGATTTGGCACTCAGTGTGTCATTTCTGACTTTAGCCAGAGTGGTTTCATTGGATTGATGAGGGCAGAAAGCCAGATTGTAATGGCTTGAAAAGTGAGAAGTGAGTGTGCAAGTGAGGAACTGAAAGCATTATGCATGACCTCTGAAGAAGTTGAGCTGTGTGAACTGTCAAGTGTTTTGATCTCTTTAGAACAGATGTACAGTCCAAGTATTCTATAGCATGAACTTCAGTTCAGTATACAGTTGGAGGTTTAATTTTTCTAACTTATAAATGAGGGTTCTGTGAAAATAAACATTTACATAATTTTAGTTCTAAAGACATTTTGTAGCCCTTTGCAGTCTAACTTGTTGCCATTCAGTAATTTACAGTTTGGCAAACCACAGTAAATAAGAGACATGGAAGGGTAAAGAAATACTCTGGAGTGACAGAACAAACAAGGTCACATACATAGAGGCACACACATGCTTTAAATGGATTTTGCTATTTTAAATCATTTTATTTCTAGCTTTATCCATAGAGTAAGAAATTATGAAAGGAAGTTGTCAAGCAGTTGGCTAGAAAAAGGATATTGACAAAAGATAGAAGGAAGGTAAAAAATACAGAACCATGGTGAAAATGAAAAGGAAACAGGCAAGCTGTTTTGCTATCAAATTTGGTCTCAGTTCCATAGTCTTTTAGTTATTTCTCTCCGCTGTTTATATCCTTTTTTCCTTCCCTGCCCAGATGCTTTCCAGGTTTAAGAGCTTTGGAATCCCTTTGAGATTTGAATTTCTGTTTCACTCCATTTTCTATAGTGGAAAAAAAATACCTGAAGCTTATTTAGAATTAAATTAGATAACCTAGGTAAAATGACAAGAATATTACCTAACACAAAATACATGTTGGATGAATGATAGCTCTTTATCACTTCCCTAGGTTTCACAACTTATATGTGTGTGTGTTTTTAAGGGAGATGAAAAAACACATTTAAGCCCGGCTAGGCGTGGCTCAGCAGTTGAGCATCAGCCTAGGATCCAGGAGATTCTTGTTCAATTCCTGGTCAGGGCACATGCCTGGGTTGCGGGCTCGATTCCCAGTCAAGGGTGTGCAGGAGGCAGCTGATCAATGACGACTCTCTCATCATTGATGTTTCTATCTCTCCCTTCCTCTCTCTGAAATCAATAAAGATATATTTTAAAAAACAAAAACACCACATTTAAATTCTGATCCATTGGTCTTGAAGTAGAGGTTTCTAGTGTTGTGGTTTAAAGAGAGATGAAATACAAATGTCTTTGAGGGATGCCTGCTGACTTTTCAAACTAGGTAGGACCCAGGTAGACATGACTTTCATGTTGACGTCATAGCTTTTGGTTTCCTGCTTTCCAGACCAAAATTCTGTTATTTTCTGACTCCTTAGAGTCATTTAGGTTCAAGTAGATAGTTAATGCCTTGTCAAACTCATAAAATACTGATATGTAAGCTGGAACACCAACCGTAGTAATTTACACATATCTCCTTGGAAAAGCTGCATGGGGAACCAGATTATAATCAGAAAGTTGTTTAAATTTATAATCAAAGAGTGTCATTAGGGTATTAGTGATTTGTAACATTATTGATCATAATGTACCTATCAAGCTAATAAAGAATATTAAAATCATTGATAATCCAGCCTCTCAGAGGTAAGCAGGGAGTTATTGCAGATAACTCATTGCTGGTACTGTGATCTCTATCCAGATGTTACCTGTTCTTTTCTTTAGATAGAAAATAGAATCATCTTGTATAGCTTTTAATAGCTTCTTTTTCAAATCTGTATCAGTTAACTCTTTCCATGTTAGTTGTGTAGGTTTCTGAACTGATTAATAATCTGGGCTATTCTACTAGAGTGTGACCTCCCTGGGAGCTATGATGGTGCTTTGTACTTCTGGTTTATCATATATCTCAGAGAATGCATTGAATGGAAACAGCAATAAACTGAAACAAGCCTCACTATAGGTTTTACGCCAACTAGCCAAATGTGTAGATAACTTTTTCTTTTCCACTCATTCTAGGACCTACTGAATGAAGCAAAACAGAGACTCGGCAAGGTGGTAAAAGATACAACTAGGTACCAAGTGCTGCTGGATGGACTGGTCCTCCAGGTACCCTTATAGACCAGGTCTTTTACAGTTTATAGCCACAGTTCTTAAAAGTTGACAAGATATATTAGAGGCCAGCTCTCTTTTTCCTCTTTTCTCATCTTAGCTTTTTCCCTTTTGCTCTTTTCCTTGTCTAATAGAGAAATATATGAGAAGACAGTAATGTCTGTCAGGTTGAATAAGACTTCTAGGCTTACGACTCCTTTATATTGTCTCATTAATTTTTTATAAATCAAGGGTCAGATTTGCTTGTAGCCTTCAACTTTAACTTTTAAAGCTTTAAATTAGTTTCCCTAATTTGATTTCATCACTAAAATACTTGCTTTAGATATTGGGGTTCAGACCAAAGGCTTGTATACATTTTAACTCTTTACCTCTTGTCTGTGAATCCTTATTTTACTTAGTCTAATTACAATAATATTTGTCTCTAACCTAGCTGATGTAAGATAAGACTCCCATATAAAATTTTTTTCTACCACTTGAGCATTCTGGTTTGTGACATCAGGATCTTGTTTCCATGTTCTCATATTATACGTGGTCTTTTGGGGAAAATTATAAGGGGACATTTTTTCAAAACTGGATGGAAGAATCATAAAAACATTCTATTTTGCCACTGCTTAATTTTACAGCTTTTATTCCCTACTGATTGCATCTGATTGTGTCGTAGGGTTTGTACCAGTTGTTGGAGCCCCGGATGATTGTTCGTTGCCGGAAACAGGATTTCCCTCTGGTAAAGGTAAAGAGCGTAGAGAAAGACTTTCTTTTTTTTTTTTTTTTTTTTAAGGATCAGAAACTTAGGGATGAAATATATCCATCCCTAAGTTTCTGATCTTTAGACAACAGGTCAACTATGGGGATTAGAGGAGTCTTACTTAACATATTGCAGATATTCATTTAAATGACCTCAGCTTTTAATTTCTTAATGAAGTCACATTGTAGTCTGAGTTAGTGCCCTCCTCCCTTTCTGGAGACTTTGTAATACCCTAATCTGAAAATGCAGCAGAGGCAGCTCTTCCTGGAATTGAGCAAAGACAGGCAACACTATTTTATTTTTTTTTAATATATCTTTTTATTGATTTCAGAGAGGAAAGGAGAGGGGGGGAGAGGGATAGAAACATCAATGATGAGAGAGTCATTGATCGAGCCCGCAACCCGGGCATGTGCCCTGACCGGGAATCGAATCCGGATTGCCTGGATCCCAGGTTGACGCTCAAGCGCTGAGCCATGCCCGGCTGGGCGGGGCAACACTATTTTAAAGTGGCAAACTGCTCTCACATCAAGGAGGCTTGGCTCTAACCTAATACATTCCTATACCTAGAGAAAAAAGGTGGGTACCAGAAAAGAGGTTGATGAGCAGTGAAAACATAGCTGTAGTCTTAGGGGCAAATATTGAGGTGCATCTCCATGCCCTTTCTGAGAGAGAAGGTTCCCTGGTCTGAAGGACGACCTGCTAGCCTCATGACAGTTATATGTAGGTTGTAGTAATAGGTGGATGTCCTGTACTGAAGGAGCCTGAGGCTGGTAAACCTCAAGTCATAGAATGGACTCCCTAGCTATGATTCTGTGCCATCAAATTGCTCTTCAGATTAAAATCCTTCCGTATAGCTTGCTTTCAGGCAAGGATGTGAGTGCTTAGTCCCTTAGCAATCACATTTCTTATCAGTTGATACATTTATAATACATGATATATTTTCATTCTTACTATAACTTGTCTCCCTAAGTAACTTTTCTCCTAGGAAAGAAAATGTACCAGCCAGATTACTTAGGTGTTCATTCCCCTTAGTCTCCGTGATAAATTAGTAAATTGTAGTTCAGACTAGAACTACAGTAACCGTCAGTCACATGGATCCATGTTTTTGCTCACAGCCTCATTTATGAACCTCTATAACAGGGGGGAAGATGTAACACAATTCACCAGGAAGATAATCTTACTATGGAGGCAGGTCCAACTGTCCTTTTCTAGATGACACAATGATATTGCTAGGTGTCAAGCAAGTTTCTTCTTGAAAGTTATATAGTGTCAACATCCTGTGTCATGAGTAGCTCTCCAAATTGGTGCTGTATTAGATTTTTGGAGGAGAGAAAAGTAGAATATATGTATAATTCTGTTCAACTGGTAATATTGTCAGAGAAAAAAAGTTCCCTCAAAGAAAATGTTATTTACATTTGTACTAGTGTGTGTACAATATTGCTCTAAGGACTTTCCATTGGTTATGTATTATCACACTAATTGCAGTACAGTAGTTAAAAACTCACTTTAATTTTTTCCCAGTGAGCTCATTTCTTTATAAAATTGGTAAAATGTACATAACAAAAAGTTAACCATTTTAAATGTACAGTTGCTTTAAGTACATGTATTGTTGTGCAGCCATCACCACCATCCATCTCTAGAACATTTTCATCTTCCTGAACTGAGACTGTGTCCCCCTTAAACACTAACTCCCCATTTCCCTCATCCCTAGCTCCACCATTCTTTCTGTCTCTATGAATTTAACTACTGTAGGTACCTCATCTAAGTAGATTCATACAGTATTTGTCCTTCTGTGTCTGGATTAGTTCACATAGCATAATGTCTTCATTTTGTGTTGTAGCATGTGTCAGAATTCCCTTCCTTTCTAAGGCTGAATTGTATGTATCCACTACATTTTGTTTATCTAGTCATCTGTCAATAGACACTTGCGTTGTTTCTACCTGTTGGCTATTGTGAATAATACTGCTAGGCATATCGGTGCACAAATATCTGTTTGAGTCTCTGCTTTTACTTATTTGGATGTACTTATATGTAGAATTGTTGGATCATATAGTAACTCTATGTTTAATTTTTTGAGGAATTGCCACACTGTTTTCTATAGGGGATGCACCATTTTACATTCCATTGTAATTCATCTATTCACTTCCCTGAAATATATAGCTTCTTGCATAGTTTATGGATTTTTTTTTTTTAAGTTTCTGCTAAAACCTGTTATTTTCTGCTTTTCCAGGCTGCAGTGCAAAAAGCAATCCCTATGTACAAAATTGCCACCAGAAAAGATGTTGATGTCCAAATTGATCAGGAGGTCTACCTACCTGAAGAGATGTAAGGAGTGTTTCTGCTTTTAACATCTTGCTTTCTCTTACTGGGAGAATGGTCTTTATACTGGGCCTTTTGTAAAGGGAGTTTTCTCCAAGGCACTGTTTGCCACAAGAATAGAGTTGTAGCTGTTTTTTCTGTTAGTACTCTGTTGTGGTTCTTCCTTGTTAGCCAGGTAGACATACTCTAAAAGTCTAGCTTCTTAGGGTCACTCAGTTCATTCTGCAGAAAAGCAGCACTAATTCTGTACCCAGAACTCGAAGCTGGGTCCAAGTCTCTTGCATGCTGCAGAATATAATCTCTACCTCTAATTCAGGGGTGGGGAACCTTTCTTTCTGCCAGGGGCCACTTGGATATTTATAATATCATTTGTGGGCCATACAAAATTATCAACTTAAAAGTTAGCCTGCTGTATTTGGTCAAACATTTAATTAACTCACCCCCTAATGCAATGGCTGGAACTCTTTCTCTTTGGTGAGGCCTTGGCAGGGCCAGACCAAATGATTTCCCAGGCCATAAATGGCCTGCGGGCTGGACATTCCTCACCCCTGCTCTTAGTAGTTATCAAGAACAAGAAAAGTAGTCATGTATAACTAAACATGGTTAGGTTCCTAGGATACAGAATTGCAAACACCAATGGCACTTCTGCTGACTGAGGAAATGACAAAACATTTCTTCAGCATCTCTAGTAAATTTCATGCCATTGGATCAGACAATAAGAACTGCTTGCCCAGCCGGGCGTGGCTCAGCGATAGAGTGTCCACCTAGGATCCAGGCGATCGGGGTTTGATTCCCAGTCAGGGCACATGCCCGGGTTGTGGGTTCGATCAGTGACTCTCTCATCATTGATGTTTCTATCTCTCTCCCTCTCCTTTCCTCTCTCTGAAATCAATAAAGATATATTTTTAAAAAAAGAACTGCTGACAAGGATACAGCCAGATTATTTTTCCATTGCACCTGTCTTAATGATGCTGACTGACATTGCAGAGAGTCCTTGGGATATAGGACCTGAGTTGAAAGAGCACCAGACTTAGAGCTGTAAGACCTGTTGTGGTCATGGGACCTGTGGCCTAAATCCATCATCTGTAAAATGGAATCTGTGATTTTGCTCTTTTGTTTCATGAAATGAGGAAAAGAGATGGAATAGTATATATGTAGAAATGCTTTATAAACAGAAGGTGTGTGTAAACGAGTGAAAAATGTAGACAAGTTGTTTAATCTGAGCCTTGATTTCCTCATTTCTAAATTGGGTAATAACATCTACCTCACAGAACTCTTGGAAGCTTAAATGACGTAATGTCTATAGCGCTTAACACAATGCCTGGTACATGCTCAGGGCTCAGTATACAATGGAACCTCGGTTCTCAAACTTAATTCATTCCAGAAGGCTGTTCGAGAAGCAATTTGCTCAAAAACTGAATCATTTTCTCCCATTAGAAATAATGTACATTGAATTAATCTATCCCGGGCCCCTAAATGATTCCGTTTTAACCTTTCTTATATACAGTACTTGTCTAAGGTACTGTTTAATCTGTAAACAAACACTTCTTAAATTTATTGAACACTTCCTACTGGCCTTAAATAACTTTCAGCACTGTTTCAGGGGTGTTTTTCAAGTCAGCATGCAATATTTTCTTTTTCACATATCTCTGCCTCCAAAATGCTGTCACCATCTAACTCCTTTTCATTTATCCACATTAACAGTTTTTCTACCTCTTCAATTGCCTGTGATGTTCTGTGAGTGCTTTCACACCCTTAGCAATATCAGCACACTTGGTGGCCTCTTTATGTTTTAAAATTGTGCTGATCATCCATTTCACCAGCAACAAAAGCAAAAACACCCCACTAAAATATTCACAGCACAGTTTCCTGAGATGTTTAACACGAGTGGTAAACTGACTCACATTCTCTGTTTGTGGCCTGAGAGACCTTTTTGTCATGCTGATGTATCAGCAGCAAAGACATTTTTTCTGTGAATAGCTTGGTTGAGAACCAAACTGTGATATGGGAGACATTCAAGAACTGAGGTTTGATTATACATGGTTATTCTGACAAATAGGCATTATTGTGGAGATTAAGCAGACAGGATGTAAAACACTTAGTCTAGGCTCTGGTAAATAATAAATTTCAGTCAAGACCACTGTTCCCCAAACATTTGGGGCCAAATGTTTTGATTTTCAGCATTTAGAAAAGTTAATAAAGTACATATACCACATGTTACACAATATCTCCAGACAGGGTCTGAACATAAGGAATATTCACACTTTGAGAGATAAATAGGTAAATACAGATTTGTTAGTTGTGTGCTGCCCAATGACCAGAGATCAGTGCAGGGTTTTGCATCACACAAATTAAATGTTTTTTGTTTCAGAGCTTTTTGAATTTCAGAATTGCAGATGAGGGACTGTGGGGTTATTCCAGTGCAACTTTGAAGTGGAATTTTAAATATTGCCATTGTACTCAATAAATTTCTCATTTTATTAAGCTTCTTTAAGCCTGTCTTATTTGTAAAATGGTGAGGATATGAAGACTCAGGGTTATTGGGAAGACAGAAGTCCTGGAAAAACCTGGGCTTTATGTTCAAGTGAGTGCCTGGCACAGAGAAGACATTCTTACTTAGTGGTGGTCTTTCTTCCCTTACTTGCCAGTAAGACAAAAAATTGTATTACAGACAGTAGGGTTAGGATTTCAGCAAAGTACCAACCATACCCTTATGAACAATAAAGTCTGTTTACAGAAACCAAAGATAGATGAAACAAAGAAATGGCTGGGAGGGAGGATGAAGTAAGAAAATAACATTAAGGTCATGGTCCATTAAAATTTCCCAAAGAAAATTTGTGAAGTCTCATAGCCTGCTTATTTCAAGAAACATTGATAAAGTAAGATTTTGGTATAGCAAAAGAATTTCATTCTCTGAGGCTCCGTGTAATAGAATTTGAGTTTTGCCATATGCCTATTAAGTGCTGAGAAACTGAGGAACGGAATGATAGAAGTGAGGTATGGCTAGAGGCAGGGCTTTCTAAGCGGGGGTTTGGTACAAGGTTACAATGAAGCCTTTTGTCTGACATACAGCTTTGCCTTATCTGTACCCCTGGTCATCAGCAGGATTGGGCTTTTGAGGAAACGTTCAGATAAGGACTCTGTTAACTTGCAAACAGGGACTAAATCCTCCCTCTTCTGATTTTGCCAGTTGTTAGAATTAAATTCCATGCTGTAACAGAAAATCAAGTTGGCACATAGCAGGTAAATGACAGTTATTATCAGTACCCATACCTTAAATGCTAAGAAGCTTTTTGAATTTATTTCAAGATTACTGCTTGTGTGTATTGGCCCCTTGTAGTATTAAGACACTCCACACCCCAAAACTTTCCTCCAAGGGAGTCAAGTAATTGTGCCATGTGTGTCTGTCTTCCTCAAATCTATAAAAATTGTTATTTCTTTTGTTCTTTGTAGAGCTGGTGGAGTTGAGATCTATAATGGGGATCGTAAAATAAAGGTTTCCAATACACTAGAAAGCCGACTGGATCTCATAGCTCAGCAGGTGAGTGTGGGAATACTTGTCATTAGTTGGTCTGTTACTTTGAAGCGATACAGAGAACACATCCATTCACTGGTATTTGGGATTTGTTGCTTTCTATCCACATTTTTTGACATTTTCTTAAAAGGTATGGGATTAGACATTTAGTGGCATTTACTGAGGCAATATCATTTATATGAGGGATGATTTGGGGTAAGAACAAGGGTTTTACTTATCTAGGATTATAATATATATGTTTACTACATGTGGAGATGCTGACTAAAGTTCTTTCTCCAGCAAGAATGATGGCAACTGAAGTAAATACTTGTTTAAAGAAATTACCATAGGGTTGTTGGCTCTTCAGATGTTCCCATGTTTGTACCAATAAACTCTTTGGAAAAAATGCAGGAAAATTCTGTTATTTCAGAGTGCTGGGCCTCTCCCAGAAGAGGTGGTCTACTGCTAACTTGTCTTATAGCCAAAGCACTTAGCTGTTGAGTATATCATCTTATAACTTAAACCATACAGCGTTGTTGCCCAATAGAGTATGTACTCACTACAAATGGATATTTTAATTAAGTAAAATTAAAATTCAGTTCCTTATTTGCACTAGCCTCATTTCAGATGCATAGTAACCACATGTAGCTAGTGGCTACTTTATTGAACACACAGCCTTAGAAGTTTGAGGTTAAATCCTAAGGATTTCTCAGTTGCAATAATGAGTACCTCAGCACAACTTGCATTGTATGTTTTCTGCTTGGTGCATAGGCACTCAATATTTTTTGAGATAAAGAATGTAGGTGAGCCTGGCTGGGCATGGCTCAGTGGTTGAGCATCGACCTAGGATCCAGGCGATCGGGGTTCGATTCCTGGTCAGGGCACATGCCCGGGTTGCGGTCTCGATCCCCAGTCGGGGGTGTGCAGGAGGTAGTCGATCAATGACTCTCATCATTGATGTTTTTCTCTCTCTCTCTCCCTCTTCCTCCCTCTCTCTAAAATCAATAAAGATATATTTAAAAAAAAAAAGAATGTAGGTGATACAGAATATTATGATGAGGAGATACAACTGTTAACGGACTCTTCTCCCTATATCACAACATAACAGAAGCCTTATACAGTAATGCCTTTAGTTTTTTTTTTTATATTTAGTTTTTAAAAAAATATTGATTTTAGAGAGAAGAGAGAGGGGGAGGGAGAGAGAGGAACAGAGAGACATAGATCAGTTGCCTCCTGCATGCACCTGACTGAGGATTGAACCCACAACCTGGACATGTGCCCTGACCTGGAATCGACCTTTTGGTGCATGGGACGATGCCCAACCAACTGAGAGACTCCAGTCAGGCTGTATTTAGTTTTTAGTGTTTTGTTTTTTTTTCTTCTTTGTTTCCTTTAAAGCAGTTAGTCTTAACTCCCAATTTTTGATTGGTTAAATTTCTCACCAAGGATTCTGTAACAGTGCTTCGGATAAGTAAAGGACAGATTTGATGTTCTTAGCTTTGTGATTTCTTCCCAGCCATTTAGGGGTTCAAGACTTGCCATCTGTGTTAAGATGTACAGTTCTTTATAAATGGTGATTGAAGGAGACTTGACTTTGGGTGGTGAACACACAGTACAGTATACAGATGATGTATCATAGAGTTGTGTACCTGAATTCTATATAATTTTATTAGTCACTTCAATAAATTCAATTAAAAAAAATGCAGTTCTTCCCAAGTTCTGCAGTTGACAGCTTACTTATTAAAGATCTTATTTCTTCACAGATGATGCCAGAAGTACGGGGAGCCTTGTTTGGTGCAAATGCCAACAGGAAGTTTTTGGACTAAGCCTTTGGGAGGTGGAGTTCATGTACTGCTATGATGTGGAGGTTTCTGATATTTGAAGAAACAAGATAGATGATCTGTGTAGCTTCCTCTTTGCTGTTCTAATATTCTGTATTTATCAGTGGATATCCTTCTGTACTAATGCCCTTAGCCTAATTGTTAACAGTGGGAGAAAGTTTCATTTACTATGATCAGGAAACTTACCTCTAGCATATCTAGAAGTAACATAACTTTCAGTTGGTTCTGCAGCATGAAGGTGAAGAAATCAGGTGGTGGTTGCATGGGCTTTACCCAGTCTTGTGCTCTTCCTCTGCTTCTAGTTATCTAATCTAGAGGTTATGTGTATGGTGTTCTCTGCCAGTAATTCTCTGCTCTTTAGGTTTAACAAACATGTCAGGCATGCATTCCTTCCAGCAGTGGTAGCTTCAGTGTTACCTCTTTGGGCCTAGAAGTTCTCCTTATCTGTAAATGTGATTTAAAATCTAAGCCATGATGCTGTATTTATTAAAACAACGTTTAAGTGAATTTGTCATTTATTATGTAAGGCACTGTAAGTGTGTGGTTTGAGAGGATAAAGTTCTTAATGAGGTATCTAGAAAAGATACCATTTTCTGAATCTCTGTAACATTTGCTGGTTAATGGCTGTCAGTACTTGAAACCATTAATCCTCCCTGTGTCCTCTGGCACTTCCTGCTCATTTTTACCGGATCCTTATTCAGAAGTGTTCCTTTCATGTTCCTTCAGCCCCTTCTAGTCTTCCACACATAGGTATTCAGTATTATCTGTCCTCTGGAGGGTTTGACAGTTTTATTGAGGAAATAGTTTTAGTAGCTTTGGCAGTCAGAAAAGAAAAGAAACTAAGGGGGTCTTTTGGGCAGCCGGGGGGAGGGGGGGTTACTGTGTGTTAGGGCCTAAACACTTTTCTTCCTCCTACTCCTCATTTTCCAGCTGGTTTTGAAATGGACACAGAAAGGTAGATGACAAACTATTCATTGCAGCCTGTCTACTTCTTTCATTAATTACAAGGCCAGATTATAACTAGTCAACTTTATTTCAGTGTTCCATAGACACTGGTCTATAAGAGCCTGTTTTTCAGAAGGAGGATATGGAACAGGATTGCTGCCCTGATTTTGCCCAGGCTGCTCAGTTTTAGTTGGCCTTAGCCCTCAGCCATCCACTATTTGAAAGGATTTGCTTGGTTTTGAAGTAGGTGCAGACTTTGAGGACTTTCATGTTCCCCTTGAACTTCTGATTCTCCTTTTTCCCAAGATGAATGCTGGGACTAACCATAAATTATTTAACTCAGATTAACAAAACTAAATCCTCCAATTGACTCAAGTGTACTGAGCTTGAGTGTGAAATAGAAATGTGAAATGTAAAGTGTAGAAACAACCCTTCTATCTTTACTGTCTGTTAAGTTCCTACAGTTAATATAGCCAAAGCATGCACTATTTTTTTTTGTTGAAAGATAGATGATTAAGGGCTTCTGAAGGGAGGGTAGGGCTGTAGCCAGCTTGCTTATTAGAATAGGGTTGTTTCTTCTGAGACTGAGGTAGTGCTACAAGTTAGAGGACAAAATACCATGAGGGGCCAGCCTGCCTCCCCCTCTAGTCTAGATAGGGTAGGCTAGAGAGGTGGCAGCCAGCGAAGGGACCTGAGCATTGTATCTACTCAAAACACTTTACAATACGCTCTCCAATACCAATGAAGTAGACACCTTGGGCAATCCCAAAGAGAGGGGCTATGACAAGGGCCCGGCAGCCTGCTCCTTTCATGAAGGCAGATGGTCCCTCCTGAATCCAGAGTTTCCTGGGGAGAAAGAAGAGCCCTGTGAGCTGATAGGGCAGAAGCACACCAAGCAGTTCTCAGTGACATCCTCTCCTCCAATGTTTGTACATCTTTTCTTTGAGAGCATGTGTCATTTCCCACAGCAATAATGATCCCAGGAATGTGGCAGCCATGCCTCCCCCATTATGTGTATGCAGTTTGGTTACTAAGCATTGGGTCCAGACGATGGAAAATTGGGTCAGTGTGCTAGACTTAGGGAGAAAGATGCCGAAGGGATGCAAAAAAGAAAGCTCCCAGTATATCCTGCTTTTGTTGAGAGTTAAGGAAAAGGAACAGATTCAAAGAAATACAGAGCTCAGTGTAGTTCAGTGATAAAATTGTTCTCTAGATTGGGTCCAGGTGGATACCAACACAGAGGGAACTGTCCCAGCCACATCTGTAAAGGGGTACGGGGCTCTCACCTGGCACAGTCAGTGATCCCACTGTAGCTGTCCTCACCCAGGCCTTTCTTGAGGGTTTGGATTCGAGTTTTCAAAACTAAAGCAAAAGTTAAAGTAAGTAGGGAACATTTTGCTTTTGGTATGCTCTCCTTAACATTAAGTGGTCAGTGAGCTTCTTTTTATAGCCAGCATACATAAAACTGAATCCTGAGGCCACCTCTGCCATTGTGGGGTCTGTGATTGAAGAGCTTCCCCTCTTTGGGCCTCATTTATAAAACGAAGGAATTAGAAACTACACAATCCTTTAGTTCACTCGTGCTATGGAAAGGTCCACCTGTGTTAGAGGAGCATGCTTCCCTGGCTAAAGGTATGGGAAGCACTGTCTCATACTGTGTAGCTCCTGCCATTAGCCTTCAACTTTAAAGTATCAGCAACATTTATGGCTAATGCTCACAACTCTACTGGGGGACAAAATGCTAGTGTAATCAGCACCTAGAAAGTAAGGGGATTTGTCAGTGATAAGAAATAGAGTGAAGGTCTCCTTGACCCCACTTTCTCTGGGAGGACCTGACAGTGGCCATGGGTTATGACCCGAGAGTTTTTAGGTTGGGGCTGTTTCATCTATCCTAAAAGTGCAAAATAACTATCCTGTAAGTGACTATACAGGTGACTAATTTGTAAAGCAGGTCAACACTGGGAACCCTTACATCTCCGATGCACTTACCATCCAGAGGTGTTACTATGATAGCCGCTATGGAACCTGCAACACAGCCTGACGTAAAGGAGTGAGCAAAGGAAGCCTTCCCAGTAAGCTTGTTGAACCCAAGGTTGTTGAGGTTGGCAAACAGAGGGAAGTAGATGATGGAGAAGGGAATATCTCTGCAGGAGAGGAGGAAGAAACACTGAGTTTCATGCCCCTCTGGGCCTTCTACCCAAGGTCGTACAGTGAACTATGAGCTATAGGTGGGTCAGAGACAAGCCCACAATTCCATATTCCTGCCCTGGTGCCCGTGATAATGTGGGGTGATAGCATAAGCGATCAGCTTGATTTGCCTTCCCCCACCATTCCAGCTCATTCCTCTGCCCTCCCAGCACCTACAGCTTCTTACTGAGCCAGGTGCAAGTTCAAAGACTGGGACATGTTATATAAAAGTGGGTAGGCTGGCTAAAGGAAGACTTAAGTTGAGCAAGTGGCTGGTGAAGAGCTATAAGCTAAGCGTTGAGGGGATGGAATGGGCAGAAAGGTGAAGTTCATTTGTTGCCCAGGGAATAGAAAATTAACCCCTGCCCTGGCTGGGTAGCTCAGTTGGTTAGAGCGTTATCCCAATACACCAAGGCTGCAGGTTCAAACCTGTCAGGGCACGTATAAGCAACCAACAAATGCATAAATAAGTGGAACCACAAATCGATGTTTCTCCCTAAAATCAGTAAATAAAAATTTTTTTAAAAATTAACTCCCTCTTTAGAAAGAAAGAAAATTAACCCCTGGCCTAGGACACTTCTGATCAACTTTAAGGATTTTGGCCAAGTAGCAAAGTAAAATGAAGGGGGTATATATACTCATTTACTTATAGAAGATCCACAGTCCTTTGTATACAGTACATTCTAGGTGCCTTTGGTGCACAGAACACCCAATATTCATGTGGGTCTGGTCACTGGAAAAGGGGCCTAAAAGTAGTCTTCCAGGTAAGCCATTCTGGACAAAATATGAAGCATAGAGATAGTTTGAAAATTCTAGGAAGAACACAGGCAGGTTGGGGTAGCAATCCCTCTGGCCCTCTGTTCCCTTTCCCCATTCACTTGGGCCCTCTGTGACCAAAGTTAGGGAAGAAAGCCTTACCTGAGGAGAGTGGCACCCAGGCCCTTATAGAGACCAGCCAGGCCCTGGGTGCGAAGCAGCTCCCGGGCAATGAGGGTGGCAGATGGACGCTTGTGGGTGGAAGTCGAACCAATAGTATAGGACCTGGAGGAGCAATGTGCTGAGGCCGAACCCTGATGGTGGACTGCTGAAAGGGAAAGGAGAGACTTCCCATCACAACCCAGGTCCCAGCATGCGCTGCAAAACACTCCCAAGAGTGTGACTCCCAATTCCTATCTCTCAGACAACTCAGAAAAGGTGAACACTCCTACTAGAATTTTGAGTATTGTTCTAATTTTAGAACATCAATTTTTGGCTCCAAAGAAACTTTATATGATCTATGTTATCTAATGAGTTGTCCCTGATGCACAGGATGCTTCCCCAGAGCACAGCCATTCCCTGCCTAGCTCTATAGGAAGCCGTGGTAGTACGCCCCATCCCCCAGTTCCTCATCCTCCTGTGTTTTTAGTCTTCCATTTCTAAACCACCTCTGAACCTATTTACATAGTTTCATCCTATTGGCACTTTGGGACGGAAGAATCCCGTATCTCCTGTCTGATGTGTACAGCGGCAAATTCTTTTTGTTTGTTTAAAAAACTGTCCTTCAGCCCTGGCCGGTGTGGCTCAGTGGTTAGAGCATTGGCCTGTGCACTGGAGGGTCTCAGGTTCAATTGCCCGTCAAGGGCACCTACCTGGGTTGCAGGTTTGATCCCCACCCCAGGTCGGGGCAACCAATCAATGTGAAGTCTGTCTATCTCTCCCTCCTCCCTTCCACTCTCCAAAACTCAATGGGGGAAAATATCCTCACTCCTTGGGTGAGGATTGGAAAAAAACAATAAAAACCTATCTCCTTCAGCCCTGGCTGACAGCCCTGGCCAGTGTTAGAGCATCATCCAGTGTACCAAAAGGTTGGATCACAGGTTTGATTCCTAATCAGGGAACATACCCAGGTTGCGCATTGTAGAGGCAACTGATAGATGTTTCTCTCTCACACTGATGTTTCTCTCTCTCAAAAATCAATTAAAACATATTTTAAAAAAACACAAAACAGGAAAAAACCTGTCTCCTTCAGACTTTAGCAGAGCCGCCTCCTCCTTCTAGTATTCTAAGATTAGGTGAGCATGCCCTTTATTCCCTTCATCATTCTATAGATTTTGATTCTTGAGATGTCAGCCCATTTTAGTTGAGTAATTCAGAACTCATAACAGAAGTTAAGCATCTAATAAATAGAATGGAATTTTTTCCTGAGCATATTAAATACAAGCATTTCAAATGTGGTTGAGTCCCATTAATGATGAAAGGATTCAATGCACTGAAATTGTGAATATTGATTTTCTTAATTCTTAGTGTTTAAGAAGCTTTGTATAGATTATAAGTTGTTGCTGAAAGGAAGCAATTTAATATCCCAGTTTTGTTTGATATCCAGCAGGGTAGCATTTCATACTAAGAAGCTAATGACCACATATTTTCTTATGCTAGTAAGCCTCAAACAGTTCTAATTGATGCACACTGTTTTCCCCAGGTCTTCTTTAGATGCACATAATTCACCCATATCCTAGCTTTCTCTTCTTTTAAAATGTTTTAGGAATACTAAAACTTCTTATCCAAGCTGAAAAACAAAATGTTAAAAAGATTTTTACTCTGCAGAGCAAAACACAGTAAGGGCTTTCCAGAGCCTGAGCTGTAGTCTTCCTGCAGTTTTATTTGCTTCAGGCTGGTCTGATCCACCTAAGCACAGCACATGTGCACAGTTGGTTTGAGAAAGGGAAGGGCACCCACATTTATTGAAGACCTTGCCAGATGCTCTGTTGGGCACATGACATGTTAGCTTATTAAATTCAGACATTGTGGTTTAGACCTGAGGAAAAGCCCTCTGTCCCACCCGACCAGGGTTAGCCTCCTTCCATTAGACAGCCAACCTTTGCTCTTAATATATGCTTTGGTACCTATTCCACTCTATACTTTTGAGAGGACCAGGATTTAGCAAAGGCCCAAACTTCTCTTCTAGAGAAAACCAAAAGGATAGAAATGGTTCCCTTCTCCCTTTTTATGCCTTCCCACTAAAGGCTAGCTTCTATATCATAATATAATATAGCATAATAAAGCTATTGACTGAAGTGTTCATGAGCAGGCCATTGACATTTAAGATCTTAAGGAAATCAAGCCTAATATCAAGGCAATATGATAGGGGTATAGGGTGAGATCTCTGTCCTTCTGAATCAAGATTCTCATTTCTGCTCTTTGTTCTAGAGCTGGAAGTGTTGAAATCTAGAATGGTAACCATAAAATAAAAACATGTACTGACCTAGAGAGCTGATTGGGTCACACAGACTAGCAAATGAATGCAGATGTGTAAAAATCTGTTCTGATCATAGCCCTTTATTGATTCCATGTGAAGTTGGGATAGGCCTCACCCAAGCGCCCAGCATCCTGCAGCTGAATCTTGAGCATTTCCATGGGACAGGTAACTACCACCTGGCACATTCCAGCTCCACATCCAGCTAACATCTCCATCTTCAGATTCCGCTGCATCCTATGGAACCAGGAGTTTGCATCCTTCAGTCACAGGCCAGCCCTCCTGCCCCACCACAGCCATCTACTCTCCCTTGGTGGTTGTGATTTTCCATGTATGGTATTTAGCCTTGTTCCCATTGACTGCCACTCCCCCAGCTGAGTAAATAATTACCTGGCCCTCAGGCTCAGCCTCCTTAAAGATATGACACTAAATTTAAAACAGGCTGCCAGGGAGGTAGCACCTGCATAGAAGTTGAAACTAATACAGCGAAAATACTCATTGCAGGAACTTGGTTGTTCCCGATCCCTTATGCAGTATTACTAAGGCGATGGGAGACACAAAGAGAACTAGAAAGTGTTTGTGGTTGACTTTAAAAATTTATCAGCATAGCTGGTTTGGCTCAGTGGTTAGAATGTCGGCCCATGGACTGAAGGGTCTTGGGTTCAGTTCCGGTCAAGGGCACATACCTCAGTTGCAGGCTTGATCCCTGGCCCCAGTCAGGGCACATGCAACAGGCAGCCAATAAATGTGTCTCTCTCACATCTATGTTTCTCCCTCTCTCTCTCCCCCCACCCACTCTCTAAAAGGCAATGGAAAAAATATCCTCAGGTGAGGATTAAAAATAAAAATAAAAAAACTCATCAGCATAGCCCTGGCCAGGTAGCTCAGTTGGTTAGAGTGTCTTCCCCATACACCAGGTTGTGAGTTTGAACCCTGGTCAGGGCACATACAAGAATCAACTAATGGCCCGGCTGGGCATGGCTCAGTGGTTGAGCGTCGACCTAGGATCCAGGTGATCAGGGTTCGATTCCTGGTCAGGGCATATGCCTGGGCTTCGGGATCAAGCCCCAGTCGGAGGGCGTGCAGGAGGTGGCCAATCAATGACTCATCACTGATGTTTCTATCTCTCTCCTTTCCTCTCTCTGAAATCAATAAAGATATATTTAAAATAAAATAATAAAATCAACTAATGAATGCATAAGTAAGTGGAACACCAAATCAATGTTGTTTTCTCTTTCTCCCTTCCCTCTCTCTCAAAATCAATTTTTTTTAATTCATCCACATTAAAAAAAGCTCTCATAATTAATGGAAGAGAATCGAGAGCCCAGAAATAGACCCCTGGATATACACTCAACTAATATCTGACAAGGGAGCCAAGAACACTCAATGGAGAAAAGACAGTCTCTTCAATAAATGTTGCTGAGAAAACTGGATATTCACCTGTTAAAAATGAAATGAGAACCCTATCTTACAAAACTCACAAAATTTAATTTGAAATGGATTAAAGGCTTAATGTAAGACCTATAATCATAAAACTGGAAGGAAACAAGGGAAAAGCTCCTTGACCTATGTCAACCTAAAGCACAAGCAGCAAAAGCAAAAATAAATAAACGGGACTACATCAAACTAAAAAGCTGCACAACAAAGGAAACAGCAACAAAATGAAAAGTCAGCCTATGGAATTACAGAAAATATTTGCTAATCATATATCTAATAAGGGGTTAATATTCAAAATAGACGAAGAACTTATACAGCTCAATAGCAATAAAACAAATAATCCAATTTAAAAATGAGCAAAGGACCTGGCTAAACATTTTTCCAAAGAAGATATTCAAGTGGCCGGCAGGTACATGAAAAGATGCTCACTATCACTATCATCAGAGGAATGTAAATCAAAGCCATAGTATCACCTCACACCTGTTAGAATGTCATAAAAAAGACAAGAGATGATAAATGCTGGTGAGGACGTAGAGAAAGGAAACCCTTGTGCACGGTTGGTGGGATGCCTAGTGCGGCCACTATGGAGAACAGTATGGAGTTTCATAAAAAAGTTAAAAGTAGAATTACCATATGATCCAGCAATCTCACTTCTGGGTATATATCCAAAGGAAAAAAAATCACTATGTTAAAAGGACATCTGTTCCCCCATGTTCATTGCAGCATTATTTACAATAGCCAAGACTTGGAAACAAACTCATAGCAAAAGAGAACAAATTTTTGGTTACGGGGGTTGGGAGAAAGGAATTGGGTGAAGGTGGTGAAAAGGCACAAACTTCCCATTGTAATAAGTACTGGGGATGCAATGTACACCGTGATGACTACAGTTAACACTCCTGTATGGTAAATTTGAAAGTTGCTAAGAGAGTAGCTCCTAAAAGTTCTCATCACAAGGAAAAAATAATAATTTTTGTAACTCTGTGAGGAGATAGATGTTAACATTGCAGTTAATCATTTCATAATATATGTGTGTCAAGTCATTATGCTGTACACTTTAAACTTATACAGTGTTGTATGCCAATTATATCTCAAAACAAAATACTCATCAGCTAGTTGATGTATATATATATTCTCTATGGCCTCTCTGTGTCTATCATCTATCTATCTATCTATCATCTATCTATCATCTATCATCTATCTATCTATCTCTATCTATCTATCTCTATCTATCTATATCTATCTATCTATCTATCTATCATCTATCTATCTATCTATCATCTATCTATCTATCTATCTATCATCTATCTATCTATCTATCTATCTATCTATCTATCTATCTATCTATCATCTATCTATCATCTATCTATCTATCTATCATCTATCTATCTATCATCATCTATCTACCTATCATCTATCTAGAACTTCCAAATTACACCAGCTCATTTTCTCCCTTTACTTTCCATCTGCTAAAACACACTAACCCTCAGCCATGTATGTGTACATATTTATATACATGCACACAAGTAAACCTAGGCAGAGTTGTAATCCAAAAGAAATAGACATGCTGTGAAGGATTTCCATCCCTAGCCGGCACCTGGCCATACCCATCTTCCATGAGCAACTGCCTGAAAAAGTCATTGGCTGCTAGCTTGATGGCCTTCTCTGGAGTGACCAAGGTGAGGTTCACTGCAGCTCCTGGAAGTAAACAACGAAGGCGAGGAGGTAAGGCCATCTCAGATGTTCCAATGCCCAGAACATGCCACTCACATAGATGACCTACTCTTAGAAGTTGTTTCTGGGACTAAACAGGGTCTCTGGGGTCAAAGAGGGTTCGTCTGCTTATTTTCTTGAAATAGATTTTCTTCCCTCTCCCTACTTCCATGCTCCTCCCACCACATTTTCCTTTTTCAATGAGTGTATTTCCTTTATAGATCATTGATGTGGTTATTGGGAAATCTGTCCTTGCTAATGCTGCCCATCTCTAATGATAAATGAGCAGTTCCCCAAATTAAGCCCCAATATAAAGGTCCTGGGGTACAGGGATTGGTTTCAATTTCTCTGTGCTGTGTTAGCCAGGACCACTGGCAGCTCTGTGGGTCATAGAGGCTTTTTTACTTTATTCCTAAGGGGTACTAGCATATCAGCTCCTTCTAAACCTTAGCTTTGTATCCATTTTCCAAGGCATAATCATGGTTGTGCCACCCTGGATGGAGACAGGGACAGCACCATTGTGTCAGGAAAGAGCCACCCAGTCATTCCCTTCCAGGAGCTCAAACCCCTTTCCATTACCTGTCCCTGTGAGACTCTACCTTTTCTGCTAGTGGGCGTTGGATGTCCTGACAGCCTGAGAGAGGAGGGGAGGGAGAAGGGGAGTTTGGGAGCTCACTTGCCTCTAACATCACACAGTGAGGCAGTTTTGTGCCAGGATGGAACCTAGGGCTCCTTGGCTCCTTACTGTATTCACTGGTGTCCTCCAAACCTCACCACAACTACCTCTGTGTCTACCAAGCACAAGAAGGCTTGTGAAAGTCAATGTGGACCAAAACCACCTGGTAGCCCAGGCCCATCCTAGGAGTTCCCTGGGCAGAAAAAAATGCCACTTCCCAATGTCCTATAAACCCACAAAATCTGACACCCCCATGCCACACCCTCTGTCCTCACTTGACCCAAGCCAGGCCTCCCCCAGGATGCCTAGCGAGCCCACCTCGGTACATGCCCAGAAAGCCATCCATCCTTGTCGTCTTCATCAGGCAATCTATCCTAGAAGCAGAGGCCAGAAAAGGAAATTAGTGGTGAACATGAGGCTGCTCCACAATCCCCTCCCTTCACTCAGTGCTCTAATCCTGCTGGGCT